CAGAGGCGCCTCCACCAGCAGCACGCAGCCGCTGCACGTGCGCGGCTGAGTTCCCTCCCTCGCCCCCTCTCGCCCTCGCCCCCTCTCGCCCTCACCCCTCTCGCCCTCGCCCCCTCTCGCCCTCGCCCTCTCACGCCTTCTCCCTCTCTCGCCCTCTCCCTCTCAGCCATGGCACGAGTTCGGAAGGCGACACAACTGGCCAGAACACACCGTATCCGCGCACGCTTTCTTGAGCCCTCATTTCGTTAAATGCGAGAAAAACGGAAAGGTTGGTTGTTTCGTCAACAGATCTATTAGATGAAATATGTAGCTCGTTTTGCGATGCAAATATTGTCTCTTACGCAGGTGCAATTTCTGCTTATCAGATTCCGTGAACAGTGAAAGTTGCTATAATTTATTCTTAATTCAACTAATGTGAATAAAGGAGTGACGGTAGGTGTTTCGAGGATCACAAAACGTGCGCGGATAATAAGGACAAGGGGCATTGTTATGCAATCAGTAGCTTCAATGTTTCAACACTGTAGTAACATAAAAAAAAAGTTGACATAAAAATAGTTTCTAATTGGATAACAGTACCCTCTCGTCATGTAACCCTCGAAGTGTCAGGTGATATGTGTACGTTTTCGTGAACCCCTAAGAGACCTACTCACACTCATTTACTAATATTAGTTGAATTCAGAATACATTATAATTAGGAGCGCTGTTGACATAATCTGATATCCAGATATGCTTACTTTCGTGTATTTTGCATTGAAAAAACGAGCTACAAATTGTATATGAAAGTCTTGTCACGAAATAACCAACTCCCCTACTCCTGTCGCCTATTGTTAAATGTGAGCTCAAGAAAACGTGCGCAGATAATAATGTTATTACACAATAGGAATGAAGTTTCAAACACGTCTGTCTCAGTTGAAAAGATAACGGAATCGCTGGTCTCTATAAGATTTAGTGTTTTTTAAAACTGTGAATGAAATAACTTTTGTGGCTACTAAGACTTGTGTAAGAGATGTAGCCAATGCAAAGATACAAGGGGTACCTTCCGTGTCACATTTTGTTGATGAACGCATGATGAAGTACATTTTTAATCTATGAATGTATTGGCGGCTAGATAATGATGGTCCAAAGCGGTGATTTCTTAGATAATGTCTCTGAAGTGTATTAGGCGATGGAATGAACTGTATCAATCAGTGCTATTGTTCTAGGTTTTTAACCACAGTGAAATCTTATTACAGGCTTATTTTTCCTACTCGACAATAACATATTTCCTTTTCGCTAGAGCTCTACCTTCACAGGAACTCCCGTAGAGAATTGCCGTTAATGTAAATCCAATGACTAACTTTCTTAGTAGTTACATATTCCATCGACAAACTGATTCCTCCGAGCAAAAAAGTAAATCAATAATTTCTCATCGCTATAAAATTAAACCACCTTCCTTTTAACTTTATAGACAATTATATTTTAGAAATTTTATTCTTTCTATGTATAAAAAATTTTATAAACATTTTGTAAACCATCAAAAACAGTACTATAATCTGTATTCTCTGTATTCTAGTGATGAAGTAATTTTGCTTTTCGCCTTCACATTGTGGTAATATCCCTTATTTTCTCAACGGAAGTGATTTTTATTTTTTTTCTAAGTATCTTCAGCAAAGAGAATCAGAGCTGCTTTGAGCAAGAGTGCAATTATCTATGGCGGAGGAGATGGCTGAATATTTGAGATATTCTCATTAGAGTTTTCATTACATTATTTATGTAATGAGTAAAAAATGAAGAATCTTAACCAATGCAGAACATAATGTAGGTGCACTTGTTTAAAAATGAGATTATTAGCGTATTTTTGAAATATGCTATCTGATCTATCTGATAGGTCTAGTCTAACCAACATTTCAATATTAATATTTAAATATTGTTTTCGAGTATACCTAAATCATTTATTGTTTCTGTTTTAGTTCAAACACAAGAGATTTGGGACGTACATTATAATTTTAGACCTAACACAATGCTCGTTTAAGTTTTATTATTAATAAAGAACAAATATTTATCCAAATTCATATCCCTAGTGAAAAACACAAAATATGAGTGACGTCAAAAAGTATTACAATATCAAACAACTATCACTTTATTCTCTAAATGTAATTTGACAAGGTTATTCACTTAATATATACGAATAATTATTTTTTCAATAATGTAATTCTTTATTCAATCTTTCTGCTGTGATTTTTCTAAGAGCCAATAAAACATCATAATTATTAAGTTTACATAGACAACATTTAATAAAACAAGTTTCTATCATTTAGAAGTTTAAATATCGCCTTTTTTCAGTTTCGAAGATGATTCATTCATCAGAATTGGTAAACAACGTTTGGTACAACTAGTGTGGTAATTTTGACAGAGGCAGATATTTTTCACTGTCGATATTGGTTTCAAAGAGGAAAATTGATTTATTTATTCAAATGTCTTCATATTTTATGTTGTAACTGACTATAATGTCTCTAGTTTCTATCATTCTATATGAAACTTATTTATTACAAGAAGACTGACTGTTGATAATTGTACAAATAATTTGTATTGTTTTGTTATTATGTATAATAAATACCTTTATATCACAGGGATTTATTATTACTTCAATAATGCATTACAAAAAATATCTACATAGCAATTAAAAACCGCTTTTGCTGCTTACTTTCAACTGAAATAAATATGAAAGCAATAGGAAACCTCAAAGTGCGAATATTTATATATCTTCAAGCGATTATTTCGCATCCATTCACTCTCACTCACTACGTACTCGTTTTTCACTTCTTAGTTTTCAAAAACTAATAATAGATATGCTATGTTTCTCGATTGTAACCAACAGGATGTTGGCGAGTAATATCCTTGTTGATTTGGAAGTCATACACCTTACAACATTGAATTAATTACTACATATTCACCATTCATCAATTAATTTTTGGAATTTAATATTTTGCAATTAAAAAAAATTTCTTTTTACATCTCTTATTGAGAGTAAATAATTCTTCCAATATATTACGAGAATAAAATATCTATAAGACATTCAACTATGCTCGCCAGCTTTCTGTAGGTCACACTTAGCTAAAAGGATCCTCAGCACGATATTTTATATGATTTATTCTAATTATTATATCTAATTCATTACCCTAAGAAAGTTTAGGAAGTAAAATTTGCTAAGTGTGCATGATAAAGATTTCTTCCATCTTCGGTTAAAACTCCATAGTTTTCTAATTGGTCTTGTTAATAGTTATTTCTACTAAATGAACTACTTAAAAAGAAGATAGTGAGTTAAGCATGGTGTGACAAATGTTTCAGAGTTTAATATTTTTAAACTTCCAAGAGCATTCATTATTTAATAAAAATGTTCGGTTTATATTTGTGGCTTGATGCAAACTGACAAATGTCAGATAGTGATTTTCCGTTTTTATGGACATGTGTGCTTAAATCTTCTTTCAGTGCATGAAAGTCCTACGTCAAAAGTCGATCCTATCTCCTAATTCACAAAGATTTACATTGGCCTACGATTGTTTTGCCATTTAAAAGTAAAAAAGCCTATTCGAAAACCTCCCATTCTGTAACTCTTTGAATACTGACATTGGCTCTTCTTGCACCAAACCACAAAATATGTTTACATTCCCTTTCACACAGAAGAACAACAAGTTGATTTTATCTCTATCAGTTGTGTAAAATGTTTTGTGCATTTTCAGATGCAATTATTACGCTCAACAAGTGTTATAAACACCCAGAAGATTGTTTATTATACCATCCAGCTTTTTGTGCCCATGAATCTTGTTTAGTAATTATTAATTTCAATGAGAACATTTAACGTTCTTTAGCTATTTTTGGGCAAAGCCCGCTCTGAAGAAAAAAGGGGGTCTGAGTTGGTTCTCTCGAATGATAAGAAAATATTTACATCAGGGCTCTTGAAGATGTGAGCATGTTATTTTTCATAACATTTATCACTTAGCATACTTTCCATCATGTTCACTTTCAATTTTTCGAACATAATCGATCAAAACTTGAAATAATCTTTCAAAATTAGCATATTTATTAGTCGAACAGACTTGCAACAATCCGCAGCTACACAAATTCAACATATTTTAATCAATGCCAAAATCAACATTTTAATATTTCACAAGTAACGATTAATTCTTGAGACAGGTAAAACGAGTGGGATTTTCCGCTCGATGCTAGCGCCCCTCGCTGCAGCTGTTTCCACCAAATTTTGAATTATCACATATTGATATCTGCCCTGTTAGTCAGTTTTACCACATCTGATTAATACTACTGCCAATCGTATTTTATATATTATTTTGAAATCTGTGCTTTTATAAAACGAACTTTGAGTTGTTCTTAAAACGCAGTTGATTTTTACCATTTTAATAGTTTTCTTACTGGATTTCAGGTGGTAGGAGTGTTACATTATGCTGAAAATAATACAATGTAATAATTTTTGGTGTTTATAATCAAGCGCTATCAAGCTGAAATCCATCACAATATCGCATTCCACAAGGACGCTTCTGCAGCTCTGTATCTAGGATAATCTCCTGTTTTGTGGGGATTGAATGTATTGATGGTAAAAAGACGTTTTTCCCCAAATCTAGCTATAAAATATGTGAATTTTAATTCTAATATGGACTTTTTTCATTTCTGTTGTTCCAAAAAGTCCACGTCCATAAACACTCCGGCCTCCAGAACTGACTATGGCTGTTCTTCAATTGTCCTGAAGTGATCCAGATAAGTTCTATGCCTCATTGCAATTGGTAGCAAAACTGAAAGAAGAAATATGACAATATCCAGTAAAAAGTAAAGATGATTTGAGAGTTGGCTGGTGAATGAGTAAAATTAAACCAAGCGAAGTTTCAACATTTGAAAATTCCTCACCAAGCACTTTAATTGTTATTACAACTATAGGACAAGACACTATTAACATTTGGCATTTCATGTTTTGCTAATGTTTGTTATACTAATGGTGTTTTCTTTTGCAGGCCCACATCATTCTGGGCACCAATGCCTAACCAAATTTAACTTTGAAGTTCTGAATTCTTTGAAAATATTAACAAAGTCATAATTTGCAAGGATTATTTATCTTTTTACATGCATTTCTTGATGCATAGAGAGTCTGATCAATTGTTGATGAGAGCCGCGGTATAAACTAAAGCGGTCTACCGCACTCAACCGCTTGAAATCAGTGTTTCGCATCGCGTCTTTCACGTGTCATTAGGATAAAATGTTTGTATGCGAGGCATTCAGTATAACAGCAGATTTGTACTATAGTATATTTACATTGGATACACCGATCTTTCTCAACAAGAAATTGTCGAGAACACTAAAGCCAAATATGATGTTGCTCACTTTTTCGACCATAAAGACTGACGTCAAAATCGAGTTAATAATGATGACCCGAGTACTTAATAGTACGAACAACTCAAACAATGGTGTAACTGAATATTACTAACACTACTGTTTAATAACGTTTAATTACTAATACTACTGTTCAATAACGTAGCAGAATGGGTCATACCGTGTTAGTAATATTTTATTTATTTATAAAAAATAAATAAAATATTACTAACACGGTATGACCCATTCTGCTACGTTATTAAACACAACTATTCAATCTGTATTTATTGCTCAATATTGAATTCTCGAGCAACTGGCAATTGCCTTGCAGCAATGGCAACAAGAACTTCAAGTCAAGGGGCACATACATGAAAATTAACCATATCCACCGAACATCAATAACATGCCTTGTAATTAGGCATTGGCATCTTCTACATTGTAAAACATGTTCTAAAATTACACTGCTCTTTACGGCGTAAGCAGTAAGCGATAAATTAAAAATATCACAATGTAGACATACGATATGTCATTTAATATTTTTTGGAGGCATTACACGATGATTTACAATCGCCTGCACGTAGATGTCCTATGCAGAAACGTGAAATTCCTTTTCAGTCGTCGACAGTCACATCCCTCCATCAGCTCATTTTGCTCCAGATCTTCTTTAGCGTAAAGTTGCTGCAACACGATAGACGTTACAATTGTTGCAAAAAGTGAGGTTCAGGAAAGTCATCACAAACAGTTTTAACTGGATGTAAGGTTTTTACTTTTCTGCTTTTGTATTTTGCAATTACCATGCTGTTTTACCTAATATATTTACAGAGAAGTATTTAAAATTAATACTATGTGGTAAAACTGTAATAAAATTCTCTCACTAGAAACTTAATTGCCGAGAAATTGAACAGTACTTGTGACATTAAGATCTTTTTGCTTGATGCGAGGAAATTTGAGTGATTGGTGTTTCGGTAGCGACAAATGCTACGGTATGCTTTAGTATCTCATGTGTTGTACATGTTATTCCCCTGGATGAGACAGTGTTCCTCCCTTGGAAAACGAGTAGATCCGGCGTTGACCTATAGGTCGGCTTCTTCCACTCCAGGTATCTATGCCCCGTCCCAGCTGGGAGGAACTGTAAAGCGCCCGACTGCTCTGCCGACGAACGTGGCTGTGCAAGTGAGTGTGTGTGCGTGAAAGTAAAGGGGGCGAGGTGGAGATAAGGATAAGAAAGGAAGGAAAGATGGCGCGCGGTTCGTAGCCCGTTTGTTATGATTGTTCTCCAAAATTCTCCTGGTACTGACCGGGGAAACCACGAGAAATTAAAGATCGGAGCAACGGGCTACAGGAGATCTCCATACAATGCCTGAATTCAACCTCGCTATTTAATTAGATGCGTGAACAAAAATAATTTATTTCTTGTGTTAGCAAACAATATACCCAAATCACAAACGTAAACGCATTGGCGTTGCAAGTTGTTTCTAACACAAAGGTGTGAAAAAGTGTAGCTACCAAATATTGCCAACCACGCTTACTGCTAGCTGATAACTGTTATTTATAATTCAACTGTGTGTGGTAAAAGAAAATGTCCGGATACTTATTTTAAGGTTTTGATATGTCCAATTTAAGTATCTTTCTTCAGCACACTACCACTCGAAGCGGAACAATCTCCTTGCTTCCGACTGGACTAATGGATGGCGGAGAAGTGTGTATATGTAAGGGGAGAGGAGGAACAGGAATCAGGAAGAAGGATATCAAGTTGGTTTTGTCGACTCACCTTATTATTGCCATTTCCATGTACCTTCAGATGTTTTTAAATTCTGAGTCCGGTGTTAGCTCGAACTGGAAGACAATGCGATGTTCGTGGTCTACTCCAGGGTGTACAGCTTGTGCGTTTCGTATGTGAGGGGGCAAATAAATCCAATGACCGAGTTTTGTTCATCTGATGACTTGCATTGAGTTGCACATAATCATCATTTTCACGTTTTCACAGCCTCCCTTTTACAGCTCTCTTGTTTTGAAATATAATGCACACACTGTTTTTAATGACCAAGAACACTGAGAAGACCATTGGATCTCCTTTTCGTTTCTTCTTAAACGGATGTTTTGTGTGCTGTGGTACATGGTAAAAATGGCAATGACTTTCATGTACTGCAACTTTTCATAGCACTACTACTGTTGCTGTTGTTTTTTCCCATGGCAACAATTTTGGGAAGCGCGTTCAGCAATCTTCTTCATTCGCTCTTCTCTCTTTTGTTTGGCGATCTCCCGTTCTTCTTTAATCCTCTTCACAATATCCTCCCTGTAGCGTTGTTCTTCTTCGCGTTGTTGCCTTATCACAGGCCAGACCTTGCCCTCCAAAGTAGCGAAGTGCTTGTCCAAGCGTTCCTGTCTCTTGCGCTTATGGGTTTCCCAACTCTCGTCTCCGAGCTTTCGATCTTCCCGAATCTTGGCGATGCGCTCCTGCTGTTGTTGGTCTTCCGCCTCCTTCTCCTTCTGCCGCTTCTCCTTCTTCTTATCGAACTCCTCCTGGAACATCTGCAGGCGCTCGTGCAGCTGCTTCTGGTGTTCCTCGCGGCTCTTCTCGGGCAGCTCCCGCTCCTGCCGGATCTTCTCGTAGCGCTGCTTCCGGTACTCGTCCTCCTCCGCGGTGTCCTTCTGCGCCGAGCCGGCCTTCTTGCCGTCCTCCTCGTCGAGCTGCGCGAGCCGCTCCTTGAGGCGCCGCTGCTGCTCCTCGTGGCTCTTCGGGATGAGCTCCTTGTCGTCGCGCACCTTCTGCACGCGCTCCGCCTGCTTGCGCTCGCCGTCCTCGCGGTCGCGCTCGTGGCGCGTGCGCAGGCGCTCGGCCTCCTCGTCCAGCCGCTTCTGGCGGCGCTGCGCCTCCTGCTGCTCGCGCGCCACTCGCCGCTGCGCGTGGCGCTCCTCCTCCTCCAGGTTGAGCCGGCGGCGCTCCTCGCGCTGGCCCTTGGCCGCCTCGTTGCGCTTGGCGATCGTCTCTTGGATCTGGCGCTCGCGCTCCTCCGCCGCCTGCTGCATCTGCAGTGCCCGCTCGCGGCACTTGCGGTTGCGCTCCACCAGGTCCGCGTACTCCTCCTGGCGGATGCGCATCCACTCCTTCTTGTCGTTCTCAGACTTCTCGCGCTGGCTCTTCATCAGCTCCAGCCAGCGGCACTCGTCCGCCGGCGAGCCGTCCAGTGGCGCCATCTTGCTTGGGTGGCGCTAGCTGCGACTGCGGGGCCTACCGTCAAAAGAGCACATACTTGCGATGTATCGGCTTATTTTTTTGGAATTTTCACCTGTCGTTTTTAATTTGTTTTGTGTTTGTTGTTACTCTCTTTGTTGTTAAGAATGTTATACAAAATGGGAAAACTTTTCAGAGATGCATACAAAAAATTTTAATGAAAATTACAGATGATTTCTGAATTTTCTTTTAGTTATAAATTATGGTAAAATACGTTCTATTTTTATTCATATCAATAATAAAACCAATAAATTGTTTTAAATTTAATAACTTTTAAAATAAAAAAAAAGTATGTAAATAGAAAAAAAATCAAATGCTTAACTTTTAGAGTAACTTGTTATATAACTTCCCAAATTTCAGAACACGCAGTGTCAGCTGTAGTATCTCCTTACCTAAAATAATGTCCTTGGCGGACCTCTCTCAAAAGTTCACGTAAGTCAGGGCCGGGAAGGAAGTTGCAGTTTAATTGAAACTGTAAAAACGCACATTGGAATGTAACACAGGAAACGTGACCTGCTACTGACAATAACGTCATCAAATAAGAATAAAACACACAATGTGATAGTATTCATCATTAGCTTTTCAATCATTTGCATTTACAAGTATATTCAGACTACGAGGAGAACATCACATGAAATACTATGTTAATAAAATTAATATTTGAATTAGACATAAGAAACAGGTTTAGTATGGGAGTGAAATTAATGACATTGATATTTGGATGAAAAAAAACACTTCTAAAGTTCTCACACTAGTGTTGACATGTCTTTTACGAAAAATTGTGCTGCTAATGAAGCGTATTTATCTTTCTCTTGTATTTGACGTAATTTTCCCAATACGTGTAGAAAAATCTCTCATTAAATACATTTCGAGGCAAAATTAAGTGCAGACATAACTTAAATTTTTAAGTATGCGATTCAATAGAGTCAGCCCTTTTACGGCCTCACAAGAAAGTGTCGCGCATTTTGTGTAAATGGATACACAATCGAAACCGCTGCTAAGGATTCTTAGAGCAACGACTGCTGACTTCATCTTCGCAAGAAACAAGGGTACTGTATGTAATGTTTCACCGTTGGTTGCTGGGTCACTTCCTCAGAGGAGTAAAAATAACTTAAGTATTATTCACATTAAATACATAGAGAGCGGTTTACTACAGAAGTTTAGTACAGCGTAAAAAAGTTTGTATTGGCACGACACCAACGCTCAGCAAGGATATAACATACTAAAGAAAATAAGTTGATTATTCAAATAGATCTTGGACTTCAATGTGCACAAATCATAGGAAATTGATCTTAGTTCAGCATGAATTTCAGATTTAAAATAACATAACGAAAACGTTTGTTTATCTTTGCCGGGAAAACTAAATACTTATCGTGGACTTCCTAAGGAAAAGGAAAATTGTACTGTGCAAAGCACAAAATATTATCTCCAAAGCACTTCACACTGGCCTCTTCACTAATACACTGACATATACATTGTTAAATAGCTTGGGGTGTTTTCGTACAAGCACTTACCAATTGGTCGCAAGGTGGCAGAGGTGATGGAGGGACTGATGTCAGGCATCAGGTGGCGGAGATGGTCATGTCGTATGGAAGTCACGGAGACATCGTCATTTTTGCGGTGGATACATTCATTATGCCTCTTGAATCAATATCTTGGGTAAAATTTCATTTTGTATTCATTTTGCTGTTCCAGTTTTTCTATTTTTTTGGGTTTTTCTAATTGGCGATGTACCTGTCACAAGTGCAATAGAAAGTAATACTGAAAAGTCAATGTAAGCTGCACTTTTCCAATTTTTAGTAAACTGAAACGATCTAATAAGGTATATTTATTAATATCCTTGTATATCTTATTCCAAGAAGATAAAAGAATTACGTCCTGCTGATTGTAGAATGTGCTTCGTATTTAACGCAAAGGAAAAGAAAAAAAAATAATTATATCTAACTTACAGTTATTTTCCATCACGTTGTCCATAAGTACTTCAAATTTGTGCATCATTTCATTGCTTTGTCAGTAATACGTTTTAAAGTAAACACCATGTATTATGGAATTCAGTTTTCGATTTCAAAAACTGCGTCACAAAGAAAAATATTCTTGCACCTGAAGATATTTCCTAGTTGATTTCATGCAAACGAAATTTGATAGTAACTATCCATTTCGTTGAAAGATAATTTTAGGGAAAGAAATTCATATCCACATCTTCGTGATGCACTCTCATGTTGAAGACTTTTTAACCTTTTTAGTCAAATCTGAATAAAAATTATTTGTAAATAAATAAATCGTTATGATTCCACAGAGCAAACTCATTTACTCTTTACTCCTTTACCAAGTCGCTTTCTTACTGCATTGTCGGCACTTTCGCCTACTGGTGTCGGGAAAGAAACTAACGTTCCGGGTGACATCTAGCGGTGAGAAGTACGAACTTTGAGAACATATTGTCTGTAAAGCTTGTTACTAGGAGCGCTGTTTGCAATATTATGCTTAGAGGCATTTTTTAACTTATCGTTTAGTTTGCTTTCTGGAAGATTCTGGCGTGTACTTCAATATTTAAATAATTCCCTCAATTTACCTACATTTGAGAATTATTTTCATTGCAAAGAAGACTATAGACAGGACAAAAAACTTAATGACGCAAATTTCTGAAATATTAAAAGGTAGTTGATTGGTCAAGCAGTCCAGTCTCTCGACCCAATCTCTGTTTGAGGGAGCGTGGTTGGGAGAGTGGACATACTGCCCCAAGAGACAAGTTTCTTTTGCAAAGAATTGGGCAGCGGAAGCAGCAGAAAACGTATTGGAGATTTTGAGGCCAATTAGGACGTTTCAACAGCTTTGTAAAAAACCAAATCAGCATAAGAAATAGTTATTAAGTTCACATACAACCTTAAAATTCTTTGAATTTTTGTAATATTTGTAATCGGTTTCGGTCCCAAATAGTCGTTTGCACCAATTCTTTCATGAGATTTAATATGAACAAACAATTTTAAGAAGTAATAAATTTCATAGAGAAGCCAATTTGAGAAGCCCAAGTGCTCCAGATCAGGACTTGAGGCGAATGTAGTACATGGGTATATTATGAGCGCTCCACGAATAAAGCAGTGATTGCAGCAAAGTCAAGTGGTTGTAATAGTGTTGTCCATTTTAAGAGTAATGACAAGTGGTCACAGATTTTCTGCCAGTCCGTTTACAGAACGAAAGATTTTTACTTTTTAGAAGATTTGTGGGCCACTAAACAGTCAGTAATTGATTTTCCAAACTTAAACAATTCACGTATGACGAGGGTGTCCAATAATGTCAGATTTTTATTTTGATAAGAATAGGAGAGGTAAATAAAGGGATTATCGAATAAATTGAAAACGCATGGTTTATTCAGTTAACCTAAATTTACAATGTGCGCTTCTTATCATAAAAATAATATTGGTCATTGAGCATTGATTTTAAATATGTGGTCAGAAAGGTGGAGTTTATTTTATTTAGATCATTGAGAAAAAGTTTCAATATTCAAACCTTGTATTCCTATACACATTATTCAAAATTCGTACTTTATACGCATTGTTTGGCAAAGTTTATTCCTCAATTATTTTAAAAGATAGTTCATTTTCATCTGACCAGATTTCTCCTACCAACGGTTGAATAATACATAACGAGTTTACGATAATGAAACTTTTGTTCCACTCAAGCTGTCAGACAAAATGTTTAATTGTTCATAACAATGTACATCATTTAATTCTGAAGGAAAATTATATTGTAATAGTTGGGTTGTAATTCAGTAAATTGAGGAAACATATTAAAATTTCATAACTTGTCCCTCAAGCGACCAACGCCTGCCAAATGAGTTCCTTTGTAAAATATTGTAGTTTTAAAAACCAGTATTGTAAGACCTACCTCGACACTTTATAAGTAAATATTCAGAAGTAGAAACTTTCCCACCACGTACCATTAAACCATATCAGTACTTGCATTTTTGGTTCTTAATTAAACTCAATAAAACATTCATATATTTAATTTTGTGGACACACACGAAAAGTGTACAAAATGAAATGTTTTGGTTCTTTTTCTTGTTTATTTTTCCCTATCTTAGTTTTCTAATAAATTATATTTTAAAAACAAATGTATAAATAAATATATAATTCGTATCAGCTTGAAAGCAATTGCTTATTGTAATTTAAATACACTTAGTAATGTTTCAAAACAATAATTAAATATTTTTTTGTAAAACATAACGGACTTTTATCAATAAGGAAATAACTCGTAAAAACTAATTTTACATTAGATCAACGTATCCTGAGATTCTTTTATCAAACCTGCTCTGCGTTTAAACCTAATAATAAAGTCAACTTATCTTTCATGGATTTATATTTGTATGAAATTTATATTCGCCCATTGTTCATCAACCAAAAGCAATTGCAACCAAAACCAAAAGCAAAAAACTTGTCTGGTTCTAAACAAAAAATAATTACAGGGATGATTCAGCAATTTATTTATCTCAGTTTCAGGAAAATATTAATCCACCATCTTATTCACAGAATTGAAAAATGTAGCCCTAATACAGTCCAAGAATCGATGGTTACCGCAGAAATCATGTAAAAATCCGTAATGGAGAAGGAAACGTTATCTTTCAGTAAAATTATAATATATTTAGAAATTTACATTAGAATAATATAATCTGTTGCAGGTTCAAATATTTCTCGAGGATATTTTTCATCATTCTCGGAACATTATTTTAACGTGTAGCAGACACATTCTAATGCAAACTTGTAAGTACACAATATTGTAGAGTAAGACAACTGTTTCTCTGTTCAAAAGTGCAATTCGTTAAATAACCGCTAGCGAAGAAAGGCCGGGCCACGGGTCGTACCTCGTCGCTGCCATGTTTCAGGCGCTTGCGCAGAGGCGCCGTGGGGCCGGCGTCTGCGAGGCGGTCGGGCGGCGGCGGGGCCGCGGCCTGGAGGCCGGGGGCCGGGGTGGAGTGGGCGCCGTGGATGTTCTCCGCCGCCCGAGATGGTTTGGGCGCCGCACGCGGCGCGTCTGCTGCCGCTATCCGGTGCCTCCTAGCACGGCGCGTTTCCCGGGTTGCAACGTCATTGTTGCGCCCTCGGTCAAGGCCGCCTACTTCGTTTGTGTGAAAATGCCTTCTGAAATTGGGTGCTTTTTAGTTGTTTTTTTTATTTCCGACGTGGGATTAGAGACGAACAGAAAGTTTGATTTTTCTGAACATATTTAGTATGTGGTTTTGAATATATTATTCAGTAAATGGTGTTCACAATTTTTCAGACAAAAAGGGTTTACTTCGTTGCTCATACTATAGGTTTGTATCAATGACTTAAATTTGGAATATATCATGTGTTTTCAGTTGCTTTGTATTTTCATTAATACCCAGTAAATACACCGCTAGATGTTTTGGTTATTCATTTTTAACTTTAATTAATATCGTGTGCTGTAAGAGCTGATTATATCATTATTTATTGTAGGAATGTCAACGCCATTATGCATCATTAGATACGTTCCAAGGTCGCCTTTTCATGTTGCTTTCGAATCAATTCTCTATTAGTTGTTGGAGGAGCGTACTGACACACTTAGCTGCTTTTCACAGTTTCATATGATCTCATTTCTCAATATTTGATTCAGGAAATCATTACCCGGGACTAATTTAACGGCGCAGTGGTTTTTTGATCTTCAGTGGCTGCCTCGCTATCCCTTATGGTGGTTAGAGCGAGATATTTCCTAGTAGATAGTCCATATTACGTTCAAAAATATTTATTTGAGAGCTATGTAGGTATTGTGAGCCTTGCATAAATAAAATAGGGATGCTGGGAAAATAGGATTTTATGCTGATTTTTATTTAATAATTCGAATTAATTTTGTTTCATAGATGTATAATAAAAATATTTTAATACCACATAAAGAGCAACCGTTGGCTAGTTTCTTAACTAGTACCAACACCGCGTGGCCACGAAATAAAAAATGAAGCATAAGATTGGACATAAAAAAGCACTATTACTCTATTAGTACGAGCAAAATCATAAAACGTAACATTATACACATATCTATGTATTTTGTACAGTGATTGCTAATAATGGCAAAATTTTCCATGCATGAGTGGTGTGTAAAGTCTTTAGTAATTGAGCAACGCCGTAAAGTCCTTGAGATTGGCATAACTGCTCAGGGCTCATGATTCTTCTCAAGTTTAGTTGTTTTGAATCACTTTGAATACTGTTCGTTGTCTGGTCGACAAGCGGTAAATATTACAATCCTAGCGATTTGGAGGGAGGTTTATTTCCGAAGCGGAATTTGAGAGGTAACGAAGTAATTACCCCAATATCGGAAGAACAGTGACGTAATGAAAATTTTTAAAATCTTTTTTTCAGTATTTGTTTCTAATTTTTATTTCTTGAATAACCTAAGCCAATGATAAGGAAAACTTAGATTATCCGATTGCTTAACAATAAGATCAACAGCTTGGTTCTCTCCAAAATTTTATAAAGCTTTATATTTAACTTGACAGAAATCGTTATCATTGACTCCTACTGCTCCTTATTATTCTTATCACAATTTTTTCTGTTATTCCCCTATTTTATTTTTGCTTAGTTAATTTAAATGTAGGATCAATTTTTAATGTTTGTGTCGGAACGTCTGTATTGTTCCTTGGCCAGTAATTAATTGTGAATGTCTAAGAATATTGGTGTAAAAACTTGCATTTCGGTATTGTTTAAAAAATGACAGATGGCATAGAAAAA